GATGACAGTAATGATGCTGATAATAATAATAATGAGAATAATAATAACAATAATAATAATAATGTTAAAGTAATATCAATGGTAATGATTGCTAATAATGATGATGATAATTGCATTATTATTAATAATATTAATGATGATAAAGATAATATCTATGATAATGATAATGATAATAATGATAATAATAATGGTAATAATGATAGTAGTAATGATAACAATGGTAATAAAAATAATGATAATTATATTCATAATGATAGTAATAATGATAACGATAATAATAATGATAATGGTATTGATATTCATAATACTAGTAATGATAATGATCATAATAATGATAAAAATGGTACCAATAATGATAATGATAATGATAATAATAATGATAATTACACTAATGCTAATAATAAGGATGATGATGATAATAACATCGATAATTATAATGATAATCATAGTACTAATGATGTTGATAGTAATAACAAAAATTATATTAACATATTTAGTAATAATAACAGCAGCAAGAGTAATGATGATGAAGGTAAGGATGATGAAATAATATTACTAATCATAGCGATTATAATAATGATAATAATAATAATAATAAAGATAATAATGATAATGGTAATGAGAGCAATAATGATAATGACAACAACAATAAAAATAGTAGTAGTAATAATAATAAAAGATAATAATGATGATTATAAGGATAAGTTGATAATACTGATAATGATCATGATAGAAATATTGTAATATTCATTATGATAATAGTGATAATGATAATAATCATAATAATGATAACGATGACAACAGAAAATGATAACAGTTGTAGCAGTAGTAATTACAGTATTACTAATAACAATGATGATAATGATAATACTGTTAATAACAATATTAGTAATATCGGTAACAACAGTGAGATCGGTAATAATTGAGATAATCATAATGACGGTGACGATAGTATTGATAATAATAATGCTGCTTATAATGATAATAATAATCATTATAACAACAATAATATTAAGAATAACAATAATGACTGTAATGATAATGAAAATATTAATAATGATAATTATAATGATAATCATAATCATAATAACAACAATAATAACAAAAATAACAATAATGATTGCGATGAAGATGAGAACGATAATAATGATAATAAAAGTAACAATTATACAATAAGCAATGATAATGATGATAACGATAAAGATTACATCAGTAATAATTTTAATAATAATAACAATAATAACTAATATCAATGGCAATGATAATAATAGTAATAATATTGATACCAGTGGTGAATTTAACAATGATTATGGTAATGATAGTAATACAGATAACATTAATAGTGATATCATTAATGATGGTAATAATAGCAATAATAATAACGATGATAATAGCATTAGTGATAGTGATAATACTAAAAGTGATAGTAGCAACAACTTCAAGAATAACATCAATGATAATACTAAAGCAGACTATGGCGATAATCGATAAAGCAACAACTGCACAAAACCTGCGAGATCGAACGAACAACAACAAAAGTATCACGGTCAGCAGCATCAGTAATGATATTTTTCAGCTAGTAATAATTATGATAATGGAAATGGTAGTAACAGCAATGTCTGTGATATCACTACATATGTTGCTTTATGACCAGTTATTATTTTTAAATGAAAATAATATGATTAATGCCTTATTATCATTCTCTCATTATCTATATTTTCATATGAAAGATAAACGCTCTCATACTTCAGCAAGCCAGAAGAAAAGCAAAACTAAGTCCAAGTACATTTCGAAAATCAATAAATATTAGAAATAAAAGAAATTTAGATGACACTTTTAAATTTGGCGGGAGAGCGCATGCGCAGGCTGCCTCCCAGCCCGGCGCTCCTGACATGGCGAGATATCCGCTTCCTACAACTACACTTCAGTGATTATTTCGCCGTTACTTCCCTGAACTAGCATTGAAAGAATCCAGATAGGAGAGGAGGAGAGGAGGAATACCCATCTTGCCAAAAGAGATGGTATGACACGACTAGAGAGAGTGAGTAAATTATGGTCTAATATTATATTAAGGCTACAAATCCATTGTGTTGCCTCTCGTGAACGAAGATGAAGGAGCCATAAGAATCACGCGGGAACTACGCTAATTTCTCTTCATTACGACTATCAGACATAATTATTTTGGAAAAGGTACAATTTTCTTTAAAAATCTCATCTTTTTGGGGCCAATTGAGTCTTCGTAGTGGGACGTGTGAAAAATTCTCGGAAGTGAAAAGATTAATGGAGGTTATGAACTCCTGTGATGAGATCGCGGCAGTCAGTGGCGCTGCGTTCCCATGAGGTAGGCCGCGTTGCCCTTTCGCCTCGTCTGCATGACTCCAACTCTTGCTTGATAACCTAAATTAACCGTGTTCGGCCCGAGTTTTGCATCTCGGGATTGCTGCCAGAGCATCTGGACGGGCCTACAAAAGGGAATGAGAAGAGCGTCCAAGGTCATTGTCCCTGATAATGGAGGCGCTGTGGGGGCCATAACATGCAATCTGGAGTGGCCTTGCTCTTGCATCCCGTCCTGGGGAGAGAAGCATCTTCGGGAACGTACTTTGTGCGTCCTGCGACGACCAATTAAATGCAGCATATTGCTCATCTCGGGTGGAGAGGGACTGGGGCGAATGGGAGGCGGCGCTCTGACGCATTTTCTCCTTATTTCCGTAATTGTTTTTCATTTGGTGGGCTTTTGCACGTCTGGGGCCGGTCCTTTGTGGGTCGGTTTTGCGTCCAGGGTGTCGGAGGGAAAAAAACTTATTCGCCTTTGGTTATTAAGGACGATGGATTAACAATGGGAAGCCGGAAGATGATTTCAGGGAAATTTGAAGACGGGGCTTCTCAGTTTTTGAAACCCATAAAAGCTATTTAAATTTTTTATTGATTGCGCCACAAGCTTATATGTTTAACCCCACCCCAAATTTGGAGGTTAAAAAAATGACCCAAGTTTAATATTATTGGGACCATTTTGGTTTTTTTTCTTTTTA